CCGTTGCAGCCATTCGTGGCCCCCTCGCTGCCCTTCGTGGCCACCTCGCTGCCCTCCGTGGACCCGTTGTAGCCCGTCGTGGCTCAGTTGCACCCTTTCGTGGCTCCCTCGCTGTCCCTCGCTGCTCTGTTGCAGCCCTTCGCGGCCCTCATGCTACACTTCGTAGCCCCGTTGCACTCCTTCGTGGCCCCCTCGCTGCCCTTCGCAGCCCCGTTGCACCCCTTCGTGGCCCCCTCGATGACTTCCGTGGCCCCATATATTTATGTTTTTCGTGGCCCCCGCTCGTTCGCGCCCGTCGCGGCTCCACACGCATGCGCCTCGTGGCCCCGCCGGCGCACTTCGTGGCCCCCTTCCTGCCCTTCGTGGCCCTGTTGCTGCCCTCAGTGGCCCCGTCTTTGCCCTCTGCGGCCCAATATACGCATGCCCTTCGTGGCCCCCGCTCGTTCGCGCCCGTCGTGGCCCCATACGCATGCCCATCGTGGCCCCGCCGTCGCCCTTTGTGGCCCCTCTCGCAGTCCCACGTGGCCCCGTTGCTACCCTCAGCGCCCTTGTCGATGCCCTCTTGCACCTCCGCACTATTTGCCCTTATTGGCCCCCGATCGTTCGCGCCCTTCGTGGCCCCATACGCATGCCTTTCGTGGCCCCGCTGTCGCCCTTCGCGGCCCCCTCGTGCCCGTCGTGGTCCCGCTGTCGCTCTCGCTTTCGCTCTCGGTCTCGCTTTCGCTCGTCGTCGTCGTCGTCGTCGTCGTCGTCGTTGTCGCCGTCATCGTCGTCGTCGTCGCCGTCGTCGTTGGTCCCCTGTCCGTCCCTCTTGGGGTCGGGCTGCCGCCGATCAGCGCTGCCGCTGGCCAGGCCGACGGTCCGCGGCCGCTCCACCGCTTGCCGGGCACCGGCCTGCAAGGAAGAAACATATACCCCAAAAAACTGGCACGATCGAAGACGAAGAGGGCGGGTATCGAGGGCTCGGGAAGTACGCGTTGAATGAGACTCGAGCAGATAAAAGCGAACAGTATTGGCAGGATTGTTGTTGTTGACTTCTCATCTCTGAAGAATAGTTGTTGATGGCCCCCCTGACCTCTAAACCTTGCAACTTCAATTACAATGCTGCTCCCAGGGCTCGCACCCAGCTTATTATTACACGGAAGTGCAAAACGACACCAAGCTGGGCTGTTGGCCCCAGACATACAGCAACAACGGCTCCCGCCTCACACTTCCTCCCTGTGTATTCCCAGCTCGCGCTCTCGCGCGGGACCTCCTCACAATGCATGCAGGAATCGCGCTCTCGCGTGGTGCTTCCTCGCAATTTATTCACGCGCCTCGCCCTCGACCCTCGGGAATCATGCTCTCGCTGTGGATTCCATCACGATGCATTTGGGAATCGCATTGTCGCTCGAAGTTCTCTTACGATTCATTCAGGACACACGCTTCAGCAACCCGCATGCTCGACATGGCCGCCTGGACCCGCCTTCCCGAACAGCCCCGTTGTGGGTCTGCCCGCCCGACCTGCACGTCTGGTTCTACAACGTGTTTTCTGCTCCTAGCCTCCCTCCTGCCAATATCTCTCGTGATTCATCCGTCCCCCTCCCCCTTCCATCCGTCCTCTCTTCCCATGAATGAGGGGCTGCACTAAATGCGCGTGGCAAGGAAGGAAGCCATACCCCCAAGGGGGTTCGATCGAAGACGAAGAGGGTGGGCAACAAGGGTTTGGAATCTACGATTTGAACGGCACGCGAGCACATAGGAGCGAACAGGCTTAAACTGATTGTTGCTGTTGTTGTTGTTGTTGAACTTAGTGTTGATATTGTTGTTGGTGTCGTTGTCGTTGTGTGGTTGTTGTTTTCTCATTTAAAAAATGGCTGACCCCCCTGAACGGTACCCACTAGATGTTTCAATGTAAATGCTTCTTCCGGGGCTCGCATCCCGTGGTCCCTGGTTAGCAACAGCAGCGGCTCCCGCCTGATACTTCCTTGCAATCGATTCCCGCGTCGCGCTCTCGCGCGGGCCTTCCTCACACTTTAGATTCGAATCGCGCTCTCGCGTGGGACGTCCTCCCAATGTGTTCTAGTGCCGCACCCTCGACACTCAGGAATCACGCTCTCGCTGTGGATCTCATCGCGACGTATTTGGGAATCGCGTTATCGCTCGAGACTTCCTCGCGATGCATGCAGGACTCACGCTTCAGCAAGCCGCCTGCTCCACCTGGCTGCGTGGGCCCGCCTTCCTGACCAGCCCGTCATGGTCTACCCACCCGATTTGTCCGTTTGGTTATGGCACGCGCTTTCTGCTCTTAGCCTCCTCTCCTGCTATTCTCGTGTTCTCTCGCTCTCTCTCTCTCTCTCTCTCTCTCTCTTTCTCTCGTTATTTCTCTTTCTCGTATTCCATCGCCTTCCCTCCCCCTTGTCTCTTCCATCCAGTCGTCCTCTCTTCCCTTGCCTTAGGGGCTCCACGAAATACACGTTGCAAGTAAAAGCGGATACCCAAAAGGGGGCCCGATCGAAGTCGAAGAGGCCAGATATCGAGGGTTTGGGATATGGGTGCCGATTGGCACGCGAGCGGATAGGAACGAACAGTCTGCAACTGATTGTTGTTGTTGCTGCCGGCCCCGCCCCACTGGTGCACATTGCTTTTCGATGTTCGTTACCCCCGTCGGGGCTCGCACACTGTTGTTTTTGCAAAGAAAGCCTTCATTGTAAAACTGCGTTGTTGCCCCCCCCCTGGCTACAACATCAACGGCCCCCGCCTCACAATTACTCCCATTTGCTTGACAAACCGCGCTCTCGAGCGGGACTGCCTCCTAAGGTATACAGGATTCGCGCTCTCGCGGGGGACGCCCCCAGAATGTATTCGAGCATCGCCCCCTCGACACTCAGGGATCACGCTCTAGCCTTGCGTTTCTCGCGAAATACTAGGACATCGCGCTATCGTTCGAGACTTCCTTGCGATTCATGCAGGGCTCACGTTTCAGCAGGCCGCCTGCTCGACCTGGTCGCCTGGGCCCAGCCTCCCGACCAGTTGGCTAGGGCCTGCATGCCCGATCAACCCGTCTGGTTCTACCATGTGTTTTCTGCTCCTTGCCCCCATTTCCCATGCTAATCCCCTAATGTTCCATCGTGTTCCCTCCCCTATCCATCCGCCTTTTCCTCCCCTGCTTTATGGGCTGCACGGAATGAACCTGGCAAAAAATTAAGAGATGCCCCGAACGACGAAGAGGGCGAGTACCAGGGACTTTGGGATATACGAGCTGAATGGCGCGCAACCAGATAGAAGCGAACAGTCCCAAGATGCTCGTTGACGGGTTGCTGCTGATATGGTTTAATTCCACGTCTAAGAAATAGTGGTGTGTGATCCCCCTGCCTCATAAGAATTTCGTGTTTCAAACAGACTTCTGGTCCCGGGACTCGCATCCCAGAGCTCACATACAAGGACAATAAAGCAGACCAATCTAGCCCCTGGCCCCCCAGATTACTAACAGCGACTCCCGCCTCAAACTTCCCCGCGATGTATTCCCACATCGCGCTCGCGCGCGGGACTTCCTCAATGTATACAGGAATCGCGCTTCCACGTGGGGCTTCTTCACAATATATACCGACGCCGCGCCTTCGACACTCATGAATCACGCTCTCGTTGTGGATTTCCTCACGATCCAATCGTGCAATGCGGGGTACTCGTGCACCTCGGCCGCGCGCGCATGTCGAACTCCTTTCAAAAACCCTCATCACCGACGCGAAGACGTGTATTGCCATCGGCGCGATTAGCATCGGCACCAACATCGACTTTGCCGACGTCATCGCCCTCATCGTCACCATCTCCGCTACTAACATTACTGTGCCTACATTTGCCGGCGTCGCCATGATACCGCGCCCACCCAAGTCACCGAATCGCACTGAAGTGCCCGCTGGAAAGTGCCCAGCGGTCAGCGCGACAGCGGCCGCGTCGGTCGTGCCAAACCTAGCTGGCCGCTGCGTACGCGGGCATGCGCGGGCTGGCGCGGCCGCAGAGATGCACCAGGCAACACCGAGCACTCATTGCAATCGCCGCCGCATGGGTTTTGCAACCCAAACTGCGGGGGTCTGGGTGGGATGAGTTCGCGAGCAGTGGAATAACAACTGCAAGTTTGTTTCAAAGGTAATTGCGCCACGTTGATTGCACAAACACAGGTTGCACCACATGGGTTACGCACCACATCGATTGCTCCACAGATGTTGCAAACGTAGACTGTACAACGTAGGTTACACAACAATCATTGCACAACGCAAATTGCACCACCTATACTGGACTACGTTGATCGCACCACCTAGATTGCATAACAGAACTTGCACAGCGTAGTGCACCACTGGGATTGCACCACACAGATTGCACCACACAGGTTGCACCACATCGATTGCACGGTTGCACAACACTTATTGCACAACACAACTTGCACAGCATCGATTGTACAACAGAAATTGCCAGGAGCATACTGTTCGGAGCCCACTCTGGCAAATGTCCTCTAGAGCAAACAATATTGTTGTTTTCCACGTGAGGCCCCACCTGCGGTCGTCGCCCAAGACCAAGCACGCGTGAGAGAAGCGGCAGGGTAAGTGCACGACAGGACCAGGCCGACCTGTAATTCGGCAGGTTGGATTCAGGCCAGCATGCCCGCCCAGTTGGCATGCGACACCGACGGCTGCGCTGCAATCACAGAGCCGGAAAACGAGACGCCGATGTGCAGGAACCCAACATCACAAGCATCACGAGCAGACAATGTATGTAGTGATCTGCGTCCATGGAGCCAACGAAGCACGGGGCGGCCACGGTGCGCCCACTGGGCGAACACCCAGAACATCCAGCCAATGGACGGGGCGGCGACAAGGCAGCCACGGTCGGCCATCCAGAGACAGCCTGGGAACTCCCAAAGCACTGAGCAGCGAGGTAAAACAACAGAACCTTACAGATAAACCAGGAGCAGAAGCAGGAGGCGGAGGCGGAGGAGGGGCCAGGGAAGGAGGAGAGCGGCCCGCCTGTACACCACCATGGTGAAGAGCGTGCTGCAGGAGTTGAAGCAAGATGCGAGCGCGGCCATGAAGCTGCTGAGCATCGCCGCGACCATGACACCCTTGGGGCATCTTTCGCAGGTCTCTGGGCAAGAGGCAGAAGCATGGGCAGGTGGCGGGGGAGGCGAGAGGAGAAGGATGTGGGGGAGGAGCAGGAGCAGGAAAATCAGCAGGAGGAGAAGAGAGAGGAGGAGGAGGAGGAGGACGACGAGGAGGAGTCGATGGATAAGAAGAGAAAGACGACGAATGAGAGCAAAAGCAATCAAACGTAGAGAGTGAGGCAGAGGAGGATGAGGAGCACGAAGACGGAGGAGGAAAGGGTAGAGAGGGAAGGAGGGAGGAGAGAGAGAGAGAGGGGAGAAGGAGAGAAGGATGAGGAGAATGAGGATGAGAACTGTCTCGATTGTATCCTAGCCGCGGTGTCGCGGTGCATACGAAGGAGCAACTGTCGATACTCTACTTCAGAGGGGCCGCATCGCAGTTTGTCAGCCCATCCTCGCCCCAATCTCACTGGGCGATCCTGGCGACCAGTGCCACTGGACGATCCTGGCGAATCTGAGCTCCTTGGGAGGGGCGTCCATGAATGGTGGAACGAAAAATGCCAGAAACATCAAAACTCCGAGGTCCGCGCGGATTGCCGCCAGGGGGGCCCAGCGCGGATCCAAGAAATCTGCGCGGACCTCCTAGTTTTTTCTCTTCTAGAACAGAGGAGTTCTGGAAGAGAGAAGACACAGCTCTCATGAAACCACCTGCGCCCAGAGAGTGTTGGTGGAATCTGGGGTGGCGGATCCGAGAAATCCGCGCGGGCCTCCGAGTTGTTCCGTTTATGTCAAGCTTCGTTCCCGTAAAGATGGCCCAAGACAGCTGAGCCTGGCTCAAGATAGCCTTCGACAGCCTGGGGCCGAGCATGGCTCAAGATAGCCTCCACAGGAGGCCTCACGAGAGCCTCCGATCGTGTCTGGATGGGCTGGCGGGGATGCGCGACACGTAAGGAACTCACCCCGTCCTCGACGTCTGGCCTGCCCAACACAGACGGGGGGGGACCCCCCTCCCTGGCGCGCAGAGCGCGCCAGGGGCGGCGCCGGAGGCGCCGCCGGGGGGGCCCAGCGCGGATCCAAGTGAGCGTTTTTTATTCGGCAGTTCGGCACTGGGAGGAAGGGGGGGGGAAGAGGAGGGTCTGGCCCCAGACCTCTGCTTAGTTCGACTGTTTGCAACAGTGCGTCCGTTACGGGGGAGGCTCCACCTGCTCGAAACAGGCGCCCAAAAAAAACGGCCAAGGTCCACTCCTTTGGGGGGGGGAGGGGGTTTGGGGGCCCGCGGCGATCGGCAAAAGAAGACATCAAAAAAAACTACCACCAAGAAATCCACGCGGAGCGCCAATTTCTCTTTATAAGGAACCGGACTCTGTACACCGACGTTTTCTACGGCCCCGCACTGACATTCGCACAAGAAAGCGGATCCTGGTGTATACGGGATCCTGGTGTATACATGTTTCGCTGTTTCAACCGGGAACCGGGGAAACTTGTATACACCGAGCCACCCCGACGGCGTCCCCGACCCTCAACACGTTCTGGGACTGAAAAACAGCCCGCCACTGGTAATATATATATATACATATATATATATATATATACATATATACACATATATATATATATATATATATATATATACATATGTATATATATGCATATATATATATACATATATGTATATATATGTGTATATATATGTATATGTGTGTGTTCCAGATTCCGAGTTTCTGCCAGCTTCTCCTCCTCGCCTCGGGCGGCCGAGCGAGAGGCCCCCTGCTGGCGAGCCCGCTCCCCGGCCCCGGGCTCGCGGGCGGCCTCCTCGGAGCGAGCCCGCCCGTCGGGAGCGGCCCGACAGGGCAGCCCCACAGAACCGGCGCCGGCACTCCGTGCCTACTGCATAAAATGTCGGGCGCTTCATCCTGCCTCCTCCTCCTCCTCCTCCTCCTCCTCCTCCTCCTCCTCCTCCTCCTCCTCCTCCTCCTCCTCCTCCTCCTCCTCCTCCCTCCTCCCCCCCCCTCTGCTCCCCCTCCTCCTGCTCTCCTCTGCCTCCTTCTCCTCCTCTTGCTTCTCCTCCACATCCTTCTCCCCCCTCCTTCTCTCTCATCCACCTCCTCCACCCTGCCCCCCCCTCGTTTTCATCTTCGTCGCTCTCAGGGTCGGCAGCAACGGCCGTAAGGCCTTCGCAATAAACGTCGGGCGCTTCCTCCTGCAGGCGGATTTGGGAGGATTTGTTGTTGAGTCCTTTATGTTGCAAAGAAACATTGCCCTAACATAATCGAACACATTGTCCCTGGAGCATGTTTGACTATTTGTGCACACTCCTCCTGGAGAGGGACAGGCCCGACTCAGTACTAGAAGAAAAATGAACGGCATGAACATAACGGGGGAAAGCAGTCAGAAGAACGGGGGGAGGCAGCCAGAAGAAGAGAAAGTGGACGGGCTGCCGGCGCTGTGCGGACGTGCCAGCGTGCAGGTGTGCTTGGTGCCTGCGCTGGGAGCGCTCGTGTCCCTGCTGCTCCTTCACCCGTGGGGGAAGTAGGACCTGCCTCCTGATCCCAGCAGCCCTCTGGGCGCAGGCGGTTTCGCGAGCCTGCTCTGCCAACCTCCCCGCCTCCTTGGGGAGGCCGCGTCCCAGTTGCAGCCCCAGCCGCGGGCGGACGCGGGCGAAAGGGGCACGTCGCTCGGGGCTGCCCGCGAGCGCCGCGCCCTCCTCGGCCCAGGGCTCCGCGAGGTCGTGCCCGCGCTTCTGCCGTGCGCGGCAGCCGTCGGAGACTTCACCGCGGGTCGTGTGGACCTTGGCCTTGGCCATCCGCCAGGGGAGGACAGGGCACCCATACCTCCTCTACCCTTCCCTGGTTTTCCCCCTTTTTGGGGCCTCCTGGGCGGCCCTCGTCGCCACCGCTGGATCCGCCTCGAAGTCCTGGTCCTATCCCCGATCCGGGCAGGGCACCCGTGCGTGCTTCGCCGGTGCTGCCAGAGCTGGCGCCGCACGCTGGCGCTGCTCGGCGCGTGCCGCGCGCTCGTGGCGCGCTCGACGGACGACCCCAGGCAGGCGGGACACCGCCAGCGGATCTGCCCGCACACCGGGACTGCTATCTCGGCCAGCAGGTGGAAGGCGGAGGAGGGACGGTGTAGGGGGAAGGGCAGCGAAAGGAGGAGAGGAAGGAGGAGAGGAAGAGGAGGAGGAGGAGGTATCGGCGGCGGGCGTCGGTAATCTACGCCCTTCGGGCACTCAACTTTGACCATTATTCTTTCAAGTTCCTCTTCCGCACGGCCCTGCCGCCCAACTCGTCTTAAGTTGACTAGAGCTGCGCTGAGTCGGATTTGGGTCGGCAGCAGGTGCCACGCGATGACGCCACAGGCCCCGCCTCAGGTTTGCCTCACGTCAAAAAGGGAGGAGGAGGAGGAGGAGGAAGAGGAAGAGGAGAATAAGGAGGAGGAGGAGGAGGAGGAGCAGGAGGAGGAGAAGATGCTCCTCCTCCCCCTGCTGCTCCTATTCTCCCTCAACACCATATTCACGAAAAGACCTCTTGGGGGGGTCTCCTGCCTTTCCTTCTACATATACCAGACCAGGATCCTACCACGGAATGCCACGGAACAGGCATGATAATGCATCGTACAAGTGATAGTGCCATTATATATCCGCATACCCTTTTCTACCAAATACCTGTCCACTGCTAAAAACTCTTCGAACAAACACCACGGGCCCTGCGCTGGGTACAGTGGTTGTCCTCGTGAGGCACCATACTACTGAGGTCGAAGACCACCGAGGAAAACCAGCTCTACCTGGCAAACCAGACTATCTCATCATCTCCTCCCTACCCCATAGTCATGCCTCACGTCCGTAAGTATTGCGATTTCGGCTTATACGTAAACCTGACACCGGAGGACAGAGGCCGCATGCTAACGTCGTCACGCATACCTGGATACGACCTGCTCATGCACTGAATACCACAGGGCAACGTTATGCCCAACAGCCACTACGCATTACATTAACAGGCATCATGTAGTACTCCGCTTGCCACCTGTAAGTGCATGTGATACCGCAGGACAACGGGCACATGCTAAAATCGCAATGCATATCTGATACGACCTGGCATGTACTGGATACCATCGGATGACGCTCGGCAACAGTCAATACTACACTGGACCCACCCAACCACCTACACACTGCCCTACTGATACGGCTACGGACCATTACAAGCTATCGGCGCAAAGCTGCTACATACACACCGTGACATATATCATGGCCGCTGCGAACTACAAACGCATCGATGATACGCCAGGGGAAAACCTACTTTCCGAGGCAGGTATCTGGCTCCGAGATCTCCTGTACCAAAACGGACTACTATATCGTGTGACAGGAGGTGGGAGACAATACTTGACGGTCCGCGAAATCAAGGCGGCACTGCGCCACTACTTCAATTACTTGTCATATCAGTACCTACAAGGCCGAATGCTCGACCACATTACGGACAAGAGCCACCTCTGCCGCTCCCGTATGAATGCTGGCATGCTACAAGAAGCTATATATTGGCGGAGAGTCGACCATACGACTCCGCGGTTAGGTTCGGCTACTACCTTCCCTCGGACCCCAAGAAGGACGACTACGTCACCCCCGAGATCGACACGGGTACCCTACAATTGGACATCTGTTCAGAAGAAAGTGCATCGTTGCCAAACTCTACGGGCAACGGTACGACATGGAGCCACACCAATACACGCACATGAAGATCTGTCACATGAACTGCAACTTCCATGGTACGGCTTTAGACATCAGTGCGGAACTCCACTACCAGCAAACGATCACAGGAGGAAGCAAGTACCACGTGGACGTGCTGGACTCCCAAGGCAACCCGATTACACAAGACTGCGTCAACAACCACGGCCTGCCTCCCCCATCTTGGAGCCACAGCAGAAACACTCTACCTATCCACGAAGGACATCATAAGCATGCGCGTGGGGAGGCCCACGATGATGATCGCTAAGGCATACAACCACGATCAACAGGCACTCGATACCGACACAGGCGACCGATCGCTGGAGGAACGCACGACGTCCACAGGCTAACGGACAGGGTGCGACGTGCACTACGCTACGCGCTAGGTACGCCGCTCCCCTGCTCCGACTTGATCTACTGAGTGGCGCGGCCGCTCCCCCCGCCTCTCCCTTGCCATCGCTCGGACGCCCATTCCCCGCGCGCTTCTCTGATCCTCGCCGAGAAAGAACGCACACGTCCGAGGGACGCCAAGCCCCACCTCCCCAGACCCCCGACGTCGTGATCTTTTCACAACGTCGACCCCCAGCGGTCTCGACCCATTCCCCGGGACCGGTTTTTCATCCAGAGATATGTTTCGACGATCCCGAGGCCTGGGAAGGGCCCCTGGAGGCCGCAATAGATGTATATATATATATATCGTGTATTCTATGTAGATATGGGCACAAGAACGAAACAATACATATATATATATATACACATATACACATATATACACATACATAAAAAAGAAAAAAAACAACAACAAAAAAAAGAAAGACAAACACTCCCGTCGCGATTGCTGCGCAGCGCGAGGGGGTCTGGGCCCCCCATCCCCCTGTGGCACGGCGGCTTCCCGGTGGCACCCGGGGGGGGGGGCCGGGCGCGCGCGGGCCGGCCGCCGAGAAGGCGCGAGGCGCGCGCGCGCGCTCGGTGTGGGCACTGCCGAGGCGGCTGCGCGAGAGAGAGAGGAAGGGAAGGGGCGAGAGGAGGAGGGCGAAGAGAGGCGAGGCAGCGCCGAGGCGGCTGCGAGAGGAGGAGGAAGGAGGAGGACAGGGAGAGGCGAGGGGTGAAGGGAGGAGGGGATCGACGACGACGACGCAGGACGGAGAGAGAGAGAGAGAGATGGAGAGAAAGAGCGAGAGAGAGAGGCAGCCATGTATACATGTGTGTATGTCTAGAGCGAGGAGGAGATAGGGGTATGCATACATATGTATATCAACACGCATAGCTCTATATGTATATATATATGTATTTTTATATATATGGGCATAGAGAGACTCACCCTCCCCTTCCCCTATTGCCCTTCTCCTTTCCCCGGAATCCCCGTCCTCCTCCTCCTCCTCCTCCTCCTCCTCCTCCTCCTCCTCCTCCTCCTCCTCCTCCCCCTCCTCCTCCTGGTCCTCCTCCTCCTGGTCCTCCTCCTCTCCTCTCCTCCTCTCCTTCTCCTCCTCCTCCTCCTCCACCTCCTCCTCCTCCTCCTCATGCTCCTACTTCCTTTCCTCCTCCACCTCCTCCTCCTCCTTCTTCTCCTCCTCCTCCTCCTCTTCCTTAACCTCCTCCTCATCCTCCTCCTCGCCCTCTTCATGCTCCTACTTCTCCGCCCCTCACTGTGCTTCCACCCGCCTACTCCAATGGAATCCGCCTGCCTTGCTTTCGTCCCCCCCCCCCGCCCTACCTTCATGCCTAGCCCCCAAACCGGGGCCGCGAAGGAGGCGGGCCCGAAGCCTTCCAGCCGTGCGGCAGCAGCTTGACCACCAGCACGGGGAACGCGCTGTTCGACTTGTCCCCAGACACCTCCCCGCAGGGGTGGAGGACCGCCTCATCCACTTCGGGGAAGTCGAAGCCACCGCAACGGAGAACCCCATCGAGGGGGGGGGGGGGGGGCGACACCAGGGCGGTGGCACGCCCGAGCGTCAGTCACCCTTTACTTGTTGACGCCGCTCAGGCGTGCCACCGCCCACGGGTCGGCCCCCCCCACCGATGGGTTCTTCTCGGCGGCGGCGGCCTGGGTCTCTCCTCTGACTCACGGGGAGCGGCACCGAGAACATGCGACGTTTGACCCCAGCTGGCGCCAGAAAGCCACTTCTTGGCGCCGCGTCGGGCCCGCGGAGCATCTCGACGCTCTCCGCAGGAAGCGCGTGCGTGCTGCGCTAGTCACAGCTCGCGGAGCGCGTGCCATTCGGGGCGCGCGGCACGCGCCCTGGTGCATTGGCCTCAAACAGGCAGCCTCTCGGCATCGACGAGGTCAGCCCCGGAATCGAATTTCCAAGCCGCGCCCGCGGGCGCCCGAGGGGCGCCAGAGCCTGTCGGGCGTCACCTACATGGGGGGGGGGGGGGGGGCAAAGGCCGTCGGGGCAGGGTAGGCTTAGGTCGGGCCTGTCCCCCTACAGGGGGGTCATGGGCGAAAAATTGAAAATATTGGAAAAATGCTCCCAAAATAATCTAAAAGAATCCCCCCACCCAAAAAAAAGACACAAAACAAACGTCCCCAGACTATGTTTCTCGTATTTTTGAATATCCCTCCTGTGGACTGAAGGGTAGGCTGCACCCGTCGTGTGCATCGTCGGGGCCCCCGGGGGCCCCTTTGGGCCCCCTTCGGGGTCCCTTCCCTGCAGCCCTCGATGCCCCCACCCACATCCTCGGGTCCTGCTGGAAGTGCCCCTGGCCCACGGTGTCCCCAGGACTTCCCAGGAGGCCCCGACGGCCTCCAGAGCACCACTCACGAGGCCCAGAGGGCCCCAGGGGCTCCAAACTTGAGCGAAAAGCTGGGGGCACCTCGGGCCAGGGCAACCTGTGGCAACCACCGACGTCCGCCCCCCCCCCCCAGATTACGAGACGTAAACGCCCGAGCCTAGGCGCCGGCGCCCGCGCTCGCGCGCCGGAGCAGCGTCTGGGCGATCAGCTGCTGCACCGCCACGAGCTGCTTGCTGTCCATGGCCTCCGGAGGGTGCGCCCACGAACGACGGCGGCCCGCGGCGGCGGCGCCGACGGCGGCAGCAGCGGCTGGCGGCGGCCGGCGTGGACGGACAGCGGAAGCCAGGATGTTTCCTGGTTCGGGCATGGACAGACAAAAGAATCCCCCCACCCAAAAAAAAGACACAAAACAAACGTCCCCAGACTATGTTTCTCGTATTTTTGAATATCCCTCCTGTGGACTGAAGGGTAGGCTGCACCCGTCGTGTGCATCGTCGGGGCCCCCGGGGGCCCCTTTGGGCCCCCTTCGGGGTCCCTTCCCTGCAGCCCTCGATGCCCCCACCCACATCCTCGGGTCCTGCTGGAAGTGCCCCTGGCCCACGGTGTCCCCAGGACTTCCCAGGAGGCCCCGACGGCCTCCAGAGCACCACTCACGAGGCCCAGAGGGCCCCAGGGGCTCCAAACTTGAGCGAAAAGCTGGGGGCACCTCGGGCCAGGGCAACCTGTGGCAACCACCGACGTCCGCCCCCCCCCCCCAGATTACGAGACGTAAACGCCCGAGCCTAGGCGCCGGCGCCCGCGCTCGCGCGCCGGAGCAGCGTCTGGGCGATCAGCTGCTGCACCGCCACGAGCTGCTTGCTGTCCATGGCCTCCGGAGGGTGCGCCCACGAACGACGGCGGCCCGCGGCGGCGGCGCCGACGGCGGCAGCAGCGGCTGGCGGCGGCCGGCGTGGACGGACAGCGGAAGCCAGGATGTTTCCTGGTTCGGGCATGGACAGACCTCCCTTTAGTAAAACGTGGTTTAGTGAAAACGACCTGAGGCCCAAACCTGGCGGGCGCAAGCCTGGAAAATAACGGCCGCGGCGCCCTCTCGAGAACCGAAAACGGACAATTCACTAATCGACGTGTCACTGTTGGGGACTCTGTCCACCCCCGACTGGTAAGGGCTCTTGCAGCTGGCAGGCCACAGGCCCTCCACCCGAAGGGTATCGAGCAGCAGGCGTCGGAATCGGACACGTAGTGGTGCGGAGGGGGGGCTCTGGAGCGTGAGTCTCGGCACGCGTGCGGTCGGCAGGCGTTGTCGCGTGTTTCTGGCCACGCAGGCGAGGGACCCAACTTGGGCGCGGCAGGTTCTCCACACGTGCCAAAAACGTGTGCAGGAGGGGGGGGGGTCGAACACGAGTCTTGGCACACACGCGCTTGGCGCGTGCTGCCGCGTGCCCATGGCCACGACGGGGCCGCGGGCGAGGGACCCCACTTGGCCGCGCTGGGTTCTCTGCACGTGAAGATGCGCGCGGAAAGGGGGGGCCCAACACGCGCGTGGCCCGCGGATGCTTCACACGTGAGTCTACGCGCGCGCGCGCGGAGGGGGGGGGGGGGGGGGGGGGTGAAGCCTCTGCCTGGCGCGCGCACGCGGGGCACGTGCCTTCACGTGTCCACGGCCCCCAGGGGGGATCCCGACTCCTAGTCCTGGCTCGGGCATGTCCCCCTGCGGGCGGATCTTGGACGAAGAACCAAACATCCTGCAAAACTTGTCAAACATAGCAGCAACAGCAACAACAAAAAGCAATCAAGAGAAACGTCCCCAGACTATGTTTCAACCGTTTTTGAATATTTCGAAGCCGGGCAAGGGCTGCTAAATCCGTGGTTGCTAAAATCGACCTCCGGGAAGTTGTCTTCGTCCTTCCGGAAAGAAGCCCGTTGACTGTTTTTGCGTGCCGCGCCTCATTCCGGGAAGTTCTTTCCTTCCGGGAGGGCCGCTGTAGCAGCCACGGTTTCAGCAGCCCTCGCCGCGCTTTCGAGTGTTCCTCCTGTAGAGGGACAGGCCCGACGAAGTTCTGGTCGGCGGATTCCTCGCGCGTGCGAGTGCGTGCGAGGAGAAATGGTGGGGGCCCAAGAGGCGCCCGGCGAGTGCACGCGGGGCCGGCGCGTTCCCGTGCCCACGACCTCCAAAGGGGGGGAACCCATAACCCCCAGTCAACAACAGCAACAACAACAACAACAACAACAAGGACCTCCAAGGGGTGGGGGGGACCCCTTAGTGGGAAGGGACCCCTTAATGGGCCCCGGAATCGGCAGGGCCGTTTTTTCACCGTATCCGAAAAAATGCCCCTTGAAAATGGAAGCGGCAAAAAACAGCGACCGGAAACGGCAACAAAAACGGCTCCGGGATCAGAACGAGAGCGGGAACCCATAAAACAACGGCGTCGGAACCAGCAAAACAACTGCAAAACGGAACCGGTAAAAAAAAGACCTGTCGTTTCCAGGGCCCACTAAGGGGGGGACCCATAACCCCCAGTCAACAACAACAACAACAACAACAACAACCATTTTAAGGCTGTACGCTCTTACTTGCCCGCGAGTCATTCAACACGTATACCCTACACCCTCGATACCCGCCCTCTTCGTCTTCGATCACACCCCTTTCGGGGGGATTATTTCTCTTTGCTGGGGCCGGCGGGCTTAGACGTACGGGCAAACCGGAACGGGCGGACAATCCTTCGGGGGCGTACATCTCTCTGCCCGCCATTGGAATTGGCGCGGGCCCTGCAAGAGGAGGAGGGGAAGAACGAGGGAGAGTGGGAGGAAGGGGAGGGGGAAGGACGAAGGAAGAGGGAAGATACCACGTTGTGAAGGCGTCCTTGGCGCGTGCGTGGTTCCTGAGCGCCGAAACGCAATTCCAGAATAATTTGTGAGGACGTCGCACGCGAGAGCGCAGTCCTGAGTACATTGTGAGGAAATCTCAGGCGGAAGCGGGGGCCCTGACTAAGTCGCGAGGAAGTCTCAAGCGGGAGCGCCGTTCCTGAGCAAATTGCACGGAAGTCTCAGGCGGGAGCGGGGGTCCTCACTAAATTGCGAGGAAGTCTCAGGCGGGAGCGCCGTTCCTGAGTCAATTGCGCGGAAATGTCAGGAGGAGCAGGGGTCCTGAGTAAAATTCGAAGAAGTCTCAAGCGGGAGCGCCGTTCCCACGTAAATTGCACGGAAGTCTCAGGCGGGAACGGGGGTCTTGATTACATTGCGAGGAAGTCTCAGACGGGAGCGCCTTTCCTGAGTAAATTGTGCGGAAGTCTCAGGCGGGAGCGGGGGTCCTGAGTAAAAATCCAGGAAGTCTCAGGCGGGAGCCGTTGTTGTTGTAGCCCGGGGGGCACGGGCACAGTTTGAGCAGGAAGACGTTCCTTGAGAAAAAACAAGGTGCGAGCCCCGGGGGTGGCACTTCAATCGAAAAAACAATGTGCACCGGTGGGGGGATCAACAATAATTATTCTTCAAGAATGAGAGGTCAACAACAACAACAACAACAACAACAACAACAACAACAACAACAACAACAACAACAACAACAACAACAACAACAATTACTAGCACGTGGGGACACTCCGTTCTCACCAGTGCCAGGGTTTTCATAGGAGGCGGGCAATACCCCCACTTTGTGGGGGGGCCGGTTCAAGCTCTACCAAATTTCCAAACGACTCTTCGCCACCACCCACACCCAGCTTCCCGCCCTATGACGTTCGGACACTTCACTTCGTGGCATGCGGACGACCGTGGCTACTATTCAGGGCCCCGCGGCCGACGACGACGGCGTGCGCGCGCGAAGAAAAAACGAATGTGCCCCGCATGGTATTATCGGATATTATTTGACAGGGATGATGGCCCTGGCAGGTGCGCAACCGTTGTTGCCGAAGTTCGAAAAAGTTGCTCGCAAAAACCCGTTTGACAGAAATGTTTAAAAAGTGTTGGGTTTCCTACGAATCCGCAAGAGAGCGCGGGATGAAATTTTGACATTTTTTTGTTTTACCATTGTTTTTTATGTTTTTATGTTAAAATCGCTACGAAAACTAAGGTTTTGGAAGGATTTCGTCTTGCGCGCGCGAATGTCCACTTTACCTTATTTTTTGCAAGGGATTCTTGAAGTTTGGTTATGTTAGAACAAGAAATGTCCACTTTAGCTTATTTTTTGCAAGGGAAAGCGGGCCGTAACAAAACAACCGGATCCGGACCAACCCGTTTTGCCTGAGACTTCCTCACGAAAATGATGAAAATGTGGCTGCGGCCTAGGCGCGGCGGGGGGGTCGTGCACCAGGGGGCCCAACAATAATTATTCTTTAGAAGTAATAATGTTCAACAACAACAACAACAACAACAACAACAACAACAACAACAACAGCAGCAGCAGCAGCAGCAACAGCAGCAGCAACAACAACAACAGCAACAACAACCACAATGCGGTCATACACCCGGGGGTGCGTAGGACACTGAATTCCCGTGCAGGTGGGCACTTCAAATGCGTCCTCGTTTGAGGCCAGATGCAGGCTCCACGTGCGGCAGCCTTTCTTCACGCAAGAATGCGCGCGCGGAGGGGAAGGGGACCCAACCTGCGCCTCTGGCGCGTGCGCGCGGGCCACGTGGCTTTTCACTTGCCCACGGCCCCTGAAGTAACACGCCCATTGCCCCCCGGCGGGGGCACGACTTCTGCGCCGCGGACTCTCTGCACGTACGGATGCCTCTGCGCAGGGCGGGGGGGGGGGGGGGGGCAAAATGCGCCTCTGGCGCGTGCGGGCGGGGCACGTGTTTTCACGGGCCCACGGCGCTCAAGGCGGGACCCAACTTCTGGCCTTAAGTCGGGCTTGTCCCCCTACAGGGGGATTTTCGACGAAAGATAAAAGATACCCCCAAAATAATCCAAAAGTAGTCGGGGGACTAGTTTTTGAGTACTGGTTTGACCTTTTTGGGGCATTCTTATGGTATCTTTCCTTTTTCGTCGAAGATCCCACTGTAGGGGGACAAGCCCGACCAAAATCCTAGCCGCCGGGCGCTTGCACGTGCGTGCGGGCGGGGCACGTGTTTTCACGGGCCTACAGCGCTCGAGGCGGGGCCCTACTTCTGGCCGCCGGGCGCTCTTGCACGTGCAGGTGCGCATGCAGGGGGGGGGGGGGGCTGCGCAGCGTGCGCCCGGCGCGTGCACGCTGGGGCACGAGTGCTCACGGCCCACGGGCCCAGGAGGGGGGAAAGCAACTTCTCTAGTCGGCCGACTCTTCGCACGTGAAAAGACGCGCGCAAGGAGGGGGGGACAAGAGGCCTCCTAGATGGGGTCGGAGTAGATGGGCACGATCCTTCGACCCCATCTACTCCGACACCATCTTGGAGGCCTAGGGGGACCCAACATGCGCCTGGCGCATGCACGCCGGGCACGTGCTCCCGCGTCGCACGGCCCCCAGAGGGGACCCAGCTTCTGGTCGGCGGCTTCTGCACACGCAAGAGTTAGTTAGGTGCACGGAGGGGGGGGGCAGGAGCAAGAGGAGGAAGGGCAGGAGGTAGTGGTGGTGGTGGTGGTGGTGGCAAGCCAAAGGAAGAGTGTGGCCCGTGCCAGAAGAAAATTCTACTCAAAATCCACACGGGCCTCGTGGACCCCAGGCTGCACTCGCGATCACGCCCGTGACCGGCCCCGCCCACCCCCTCCCTCCCCTCTGGTCACGTCGCGATTCGCGCCAGCGCCGTCTGGGACGTGGCCACGCCCAGAGGGCGCAGGCGCAAATCTCAACGTTGCTGCTTCCCTCCCCCTCCCTCCCTCCAACCCCCCAGTCACGCCCGTTATCGCCAGGAGATAGAAAAACTGTCTCCTGCGACGGCGGTGCTGACTGCGGCGGCGGCCGGCGGCGGCGCTGACCTCGGCGGCGGCGCCCGGCGGCGGCGTTGACGGACGGCTGCGGCCAGCGACGGCGGCGGCGGCGGCTCTGTGGCCTCCAGCGCGGCGGGGGTCAGCGAGTCCTCCCTGAGGAGCAGGCCGCCGGGCGCAGGCGCGGGATCGTCCGTGCAGCCCGCCGGGCGCGCCTGGCCCGCCGCTGGGCAGGCCCACGCGTCCGCGCAGCCGTCGGAGCCGAAGTCGGCCTCGGCAGCGCGGCGCAGCGGCGGCGCGGCGGCGGCGCGGCGTTTCGGCGCGGCGGCGGCGCGGCGGCGGCGCGGCGGCGGCGCGGCGGCGGCGCGGCGGCGGTGTGCGCTGGCCGCGGCGGCCATGCCAAGCCGGACGGCCCTCCGCAGATGAGTGGTGAGGTCGACCCTGGGCCACGGATCGGAGGATGTGCCCTCCCGACTTGGCCAGCAGGGCGAACGTACATATTGGGCCCAGGATCCCGCCAGCCCTCTGGGCGTGAGTGGTCTGACGAGCTCGTTCTGCTAACCCCCGTCTTCCCCTTCGGAGATGGAGTTTCCCCCTCCCCCTACTCCCTACTCCTGCGTCTGGAGGAGGCACTTCGCGAGGCGTTGGAGCGTCCAAGATGGCCCCAGCTGGTTACGATGGAGCTCCAGAGAGCCCGAAATGGCCTCGAAAATCGCTCAAGATAACCCAAGATGGTTCAAGATAGCTTCCAACGCTCCAAGAGGCCAAAGTCCTTCCTAAAACCTAGTGTCAAGGTTGCGTTCCTTCTTCTTGCCTTTTCGCTTCCGTTGGGCTCTTGAAACCTCCGGATGGCTCCAATATGGCCCAAGACGGCCCCAAGAGGATCCCAAGGGCCCAATACGGCCCCCAAGAGCGCCCAAGGAGTGCCGCGGAAAGCAAATGTTCGAGCCCAGACGGGGGGGGGCACACTTTTGATCGATGGCCCCCAAGATGGCCCCAAGAGCGCCCCAAGGCCCCCGAGGGGGCCGCAAGAGAGCCCCAACAGGCCCCGCGAGAGCCCCGAAGGTCTCCAAGAAATGGCCCCAAGACGGCCCAAGTAAGCTACCGACAGGCCAAAAATTCCCGAAAGCTACCGACAGGCCAAAAATCCCCTGTGTCCCACTGCTTGCTCCCATCGCGGCTGGATGAGATTTTGTGGGAATACGCGTAGCGTCAAGAAGTGGTCCAGCCGTGACCGCTGCCACCGACCGACAGACCGACCGACCAGCCGACCGACCGAAACCACACAAATATCCCAAACCCGGCGGGTTCCGGAAATCCTGGTCCCCCCTCAAAAAAAGCCAGCCTGGCGAATAATCCAACCATATGAAACTGTGAGTAACGCAATTGTGAATATCGTTTTCGGTGGAGCTCCGTGGGGCCATGAAACGTGTGAAGGGTGTGCCAGCATGGGTGGGGACGCATGTGGGCACCGCCACTCGGGCCATCGGTGGAACTCCCTATGGCGCCACGAAGCGTGTGACGGGTGTGCCGACATGGGCTTCGGGGGCGCTTGTGAACTGCGCCGCGGGGCCTTCGGTGGAGCTGCCCACGGGGCCACGAAACGTGTGAGGGGTGTGCCTACATGGGTGGCGGGGACACACGTGGGCACTGCCGCCCACGAAACGTGTGAAGGAATGGGTGGTGGGGACGCATGTGGGCACCGCCACCCGGGCCATCGGTGGAACTCCCTATGGGGCCACGAAACGTGCGACAGTGTAACGACATGGGCTTCGAGGACGCTTGTGGACTGTGCAGCTGGGGCCTTCGGTGGGGCTCCTTCGGGGGCCACGAAGCGTATGGGGGGTGTGCCAAAATGGGTGGCGGAAACGCTTATGGACTGCGTCATTGTGGCCTTCGGTGGAGCTGCCGATGGGGCCACGAAATGTGCGACGGGTGTGCCGACATGAATGGCCGATGGAGCTGCCGATGGTGGCGGAGACGCATGTGAACACCGCCACTGGGGCGGCGGTGGAGCTCCGTATGGGGCCACGAGGCGTGTGACGAGTGTGTCGAAATTGATGGCGGGGACGCATGTGGCACCGCCACTGGGGCTGTCGGCGGAGCTCCCTACGGGGCCACGAGTGAGGGGTGTGCCTACATGGGTGGCGGGGGCGCATGTGGGCACCGCTACTGAGGTCTTCGGTGGATTCCCTTTGGTGCCACGAAACGTGTGACAAGTGTGCAAAAAAATGGCGGGGACGCATGTGGGCACCGCTACTGGGGCCTTGGGTGGAGCTCCCGATGGGGCCACAAAATGTGCGACGGGTGTGCCAACATGAGTGGCCGAGACGCACGTGCCAACCGCCACTGGGGCCTTCGGCGGGGTTCCCTATGGGGCCACGAAACGTGCGCGGGGTGTGCCGACAGCAATGGCGGGGACACACGTGAACCTCGCCGGCGGGGTTTTCGGTGGAGTCCCCCCTGGGGCCACGAAGCGTGCGACGGGTGTGCCGACATGGGCAGCGGAAGCGCATGTGGGCACCGTCACCGGGGCCTTCGCTGGAGCTCCCTATGGGGCTTCACGAAACGTGCGAGGTGCGTGCCGACATGGGTGGCGGGGACGCATGTGGGCACCGACGGGCACGCAAGAGAGCAGAGAGGGGGGGGACGAGGGAGGAGGGGGAGAAGGAAAGGAGGAGGAAGACGAGGAGGAGGAGGGGGGAGGTGAAAGAGGAGAAGGAGGAGGAGGAGGAGGAGGAGGAGAAGGAGGAGGAGGAGAAGGAAGCAACGCGGGGCGTTGCGTCTTCGAAGCGAGGACCCAACGCCACAGGACGGTTCGGCAAAATCAGCCTGGCGAAGGGCTCGACCACACGCAGCTGCGAGTACCGCGAGGAAAAAGAGACGAAGGAGGGGGGCGCGAAAACTTGAGTAGCTCTGATGGGCAGGCCGCCGGAAGAACGAGGCGCGGGGCAGCGCGGGCAGGAGGCGCGGAGGGAGGGGGCGGAGCGGAGCGGGATGGCGGATTCACAGATGTCCCCTCCTCTGCGCACTCGCGCACTGGTGGCCGCGGCTCTGGACAAAGCGCACCGCGGAGCCCCCGCGACGCGCCGGCTGCCCCGCGGGGGTCCTGGCGACGCGCGCGGGTCGGCCGCTGCGCAGAGCAAAGAAAGCTAGCTGGCCGGCGACCAGCGGGCCAAGCGCTGGCCGCTGGGCAGAGAGTCGCTGGGTGAGCGAGGCGCTGCGCGGAGCGCAGCGCGGAGTCACCGCGACGCCCGCCGGTCGCCCCGAAGGAGTCCCGGCGACGCGCGCAGGTCGCCCCAGGCTGGGAGCAAAACGATTAAGTGGCGGCCAGGCGCGCTGCTGTGACGTCCGCAGCGCAGCGCAAAGAAATATGTGGCGGGCTGGTTGAGCGCCCCTCAGGTCAGGCCTCGCGGACACACTCGGTGAAGCCCCGCTCCCTGGCGCTGAGGGCCGTCGCCTCCCTCCTGCACCGCCTCGTGCGCGTCGCAAACTGCCCCAGCTGCTTCCGCAAGCCCTCTGGCGCCCCTGGCAGGGAGAACTCGATGCGCGGCGCCCTCATCAGCATGAGGTCCTCGTGGCACGTGGCGCGCGAGAGCTTCACGTAGAGCTCCAGTCACTAATCGTCGTCCTCCTTGCCGTTCCCGACCTTGCGGCGGCCGCAGTCCACGATCACGCCTGGGCGATGTCGGCCGAAGGAGCAGCGCGCTGGGCAGCCGACAGCCCAGGGCGAGGGGGCGCGGAGTGCTAACTACTCGCGCCCAGGCGGCGTGGCCGCAGACTGCCCGTGACCGCCGTTCCCTCGCCCGGTCACCTTCTCGAGTGATGCGCCCCTGGCACGCCGCCGTGGTGACGAACCTGCCGTGCGAGAGCGGGAAGCCGGTGCGATTTGGAGACGGCAGTGCCATGCGAACCCTGCCACTCGGGCCTTACGTGGATTTCCCGATGGGGCCACAAATTCGTGTGAGGGGTACGCCGGAACGGGGCCGCTGTGCCATGCGAACTTTCCACTGGAGCCTTCGGCGGAGCTCCTGATGGGGCCACGAGACGTGTGAGGGGTGTGCCGATATGGGGCGGACGTGCCACGCGAACGTTCCCACAAGGGCCTTAGGTGGAGCTCCCTATGGGGCCATGAAACGTGTGAGCGGGGTGCCGAAATGGGAGGGCGGCGGTGCCATGCGAACTTTCCCACAGGGGCCTTCGGCGGAGCTCCCTGTGGGGAAACGAAACGTGTGAGGATGTGCCGAAAACAGCGGTGCCATGCGAACTTTCCGACTGGGGCCTTCGCTGGGGCCCCCTACGGGGCCGCGAAACGTGTGAGGGGGGTGCCGAAATAGGGTGGCGGTGCCATGCGAACGTTCCCACTGGGGCCTTTGGGTGGAGCTCCTCATGGGACCACGAATTGTGTCATGGGTGAACCAAAAATGGGGCGGCGGTGCCATTCGAACTTTCCCACTGTGACCTTCGGTGGAGCTCCGTATGGGCCCACAAAACGTGTGAGAGGGTGCACCAAAATGGTGCGCATGCGGTGCGCAAAGGCAGGGATGATAGGAGGGAGGAGGAGGAGGAGGAGGAGGAGGAGGAGGAGGAGGAGCAGGAGGAGGAGAGGAGGAGGAGGAAGGGGAGGAGGAGGAGGAGGAGGAGGAGGAGGAGGAGAGAGGAGGAGGAGGAGGAGGAGGAGGAGGAGAAGCGGGAGGAGCAGGAGTGAAGAGGAGAGGAGGACAGGAGGTGGAGACGCGGGGCGCTGGCTCCTCACAACGAGGGCCCAACACCGCAGGACGGATGGCTGGGAAAAAAGGCATCTCTTAAGTGGACGACGTTTGCTGCTGCGGGCTGCTGTCAGCCCTCCTCCTCCTCCCACTTCCTCCTCCTTCCCCTCCTCCTCCTCCCTCCTCCTCCTCCTCCTCCTCCTCCTCCTCCTCCTCCTCCTCCCTCCTCCCCCTCCCCCTTCCTACTCCTCCGACTCCTCCTGCTGCTGGCAGAGCCGTCCAGGTGTTGACTCTGCTGTCCTTCCGTCGCCTTCCGCAGGGGAAGAGATGCCACGTCCAGCAGTCCTTCAGGGCGAAGCCCTTGCTGGAGCGCACCATATGACTGCATGAATGTATGTCTGTCTGTCTGTCAGCCTGTCGGTCGGTCGGCCGATATGTCTGTATGCGTGATCTGCGTCTGTATGGATGCATGCACGCACGCACGCACGCATGCATGCATGCATGTGTGTATGCACGTATGCATGTACGTATGCATGTGCGCGTGCCTATATGGATGTATGTGTGTATGCGAGTGTGAGCGTGTACGTGTATGTGCGTGTGTATATGCCCACATGTATGTGTATGTATGCGTGTGTGTGTATGTGTAAATGTATGTGTACGCATGTGTATGTAGATGTGTGTGTGGGTGTGTGTATGCATGCATGCATGTATGGATGTATGTGCGTATGTATGTATGATTGGGTGGATGGATGCGTGCGCGCGAGAATGTATGGATGTGTGTATGCATGCATGTACGTATGTATGCATGTGTGTATGAGTGTATGTGTGTATGTTTGTATGCATGTATATATGCATGTATGTATGCATGTATGGATGTATGTATGTATGTGTGTATGTGTATGTGTGTGCGTATGTGTGAATGTATGTATGCACGTATGTGTATATGTATGTATGTGTGTATGTGTGTATGTATGTATATATATGTGTGTATGTACGTATGGATGCGTGTATGCGTGTATGCATGTATGTACGTATGTATGGATGTATGTATGTATGTACGTACGTATGTGTGTATGTATGTATGTATGTGTGTGTATGAATGTATGTATGTATGTATGGATGGATGGATGAATGGATGGATGGATGGATGGATGTATGTGTGACTGTAAGTATGTATGCATGTGTATATGCATGTATGTATGTAGATTGGTATGTATGTATGTGTGTACACATGGCTGTTTATTATGGATGTACGGATGTAGGCACGAATGCATGAACGCATGCATGTACGTATGTATCTGTGCATGCATGAACGTATGTGTATATGCATGTATGTATGCATGCATACACGTATGCATGCAGGTACGCGTTCGCACAAGTGATATCATATACATATACATGTATACATATATATGTATATATATACACAAAAGATGTGTGCTCGTAACTGACATGCATCCCCATACAGACTTCGGTCAGTGATTGCACCTGGAGGGGTCCTTGCGGAAATTGAAGAAGTTGGCGAAAACACTGCGCCCGCCCTGGATTCTCAAATGTGTTAAGGACTCGGTGAGAATATGCCTGAGTTCGGTGGGCGGTCAGGTCCCTGGGTTGCATATACCAGTCGTGGTTAAAACTTCCTCCCAATGCCAGTGTGCGGATGGGTTCCGGGGTTCCCATAGCGGAGCTCGGCCCCCTGTAGTGAAGAACACGGAGGGCGGGGGTGTACGAGGAGGCGCAGAACCCGATATTGCCACGAACCCCGACCCTGACGGAAGGGGGCGCCAACAGGGCGACCGAGTGCGGTTCCCGTGCTGTTGCCCGCTTATCACTGGCGGCCTGTTCGGGACTGCCTCAGGAGGTGCAAGACACATGGGGAGGAGAAGGACCGGGACAGCTCGGAAGCGAGACGATGGAGGGGGGTAGAAACACGAGAGGGGGAGGGGCAGAAGGATGGGCGGACGAGACGGGCAGTGGAGTACCCGTCAAGAGAGCGGCGACGGCCACGGTGACCTCGGAAATGCCTTCGTGGGACTTCTTGGCGGCTTCTTGGGCCGTCGCGGGAGTCTCTCGGGAGCTCATAGGAGTACCGCTCCACAGACCCCCCCCCCCAAGGGATACAAATCGGGAACCACATCCGCAAGGTCGGGGGGGGAAAAAAAGGTAATCGGGCAGAGAGAACAAAGAAGAGGGGATACATAATACGCGTGAAAAGCTGGAGAACACGGAGCAGAGCTCCGAGCGCAAACTGCGAAACGGTGGAGAGCATGGCGTAGAGAGCGAAAAGGCTGTGGCGCAGGAGAGAGCGCAGAAGGCAGCAGAGAGTCTAGAGTAGCGGGCCGAGGGTAGAAAGCAAGTGTCGAGGAATAGAGGATGATTACCCCAGTGCGACCCTACCTAGAAGTTGGAGCCCCTAGGAAAGCAGCATTAGTTGCTATGTTATGATATGATATGATATGCCATGCTAGGCTGCGCTATGCTATACTAGGTTATGATAAGCTATGCTGCGCTATGCTATGCTATGCTATGTTATACTATGAAAAGCTGTGATATGGCATGCTGTGCTGTGTTATGCTAAGCTATGCTGTGCTATGCTATGCTAAGCTGCGCTAAGCTATGCTATGATATGCTATGCTATGATAAGCTGCGCTATGCTATGCTATGCTATGTTGTGATCTGCTATGCGAAAGCTCAGCGGAGCTAAGATGAAGGTAAGCTAAGCTAAGAGAAACCTGAGCTAAGATGAAACTCAGCTAAGCTAAGATGAAACAAGCTATGCTACGATGAGATAAGCAGCGCTAAGCTAAGGGGACGTAGCTGGGGGAACCGCGGGGCGGATCCTGGGGGAACCGCCCAGAGCGAGGCCCACTGCCCGGCCCCTATAAGCTCTGAGGTAAGAACCCTTCTAGGCAGAGCCTAGGTAGGGAACAAAGCAGACAGTAGAAACCACAGAGAGCACAACTCAAACAAGCGAACAGAATAACAAGCAGTTGCCGCGCAAGCATCATATGACCTGGTGCTCCCTCTGGCGCACAACAAGGGCAACGATACAGGGGGCACCTGCTCAGTAGGGGGAAACATCGACCTGGAATCGGCAATACATCGCCGATGGATCCGCGAGAAGACCCCGATAACGAAACCGCGCGGTCCTGGGCAGGACGGGCTGTCGGGCCCGTATCGGCGATGAGTGAACGATCGGAGGTCGATGCCCCCCCTGGGCCTATCCCCCCCCTGACGTTGCCCCCCGGCTTTCGCGTCAAGTCTCTCAGGCAGACGTCAGGAAAGATCCGGGCACCCCCGGAACGCCCTCGGCGAGGCGCAGCCGCTGAAACGCACCCCGAGGCTGGAGAGCCGACGAGAACAACCGAAAACGCCCGAAAACCTCGATCCATGCACTCGACAAATACTGTTTCGTCGGCGGCGAGGCAGAGGCAGTCCGCACCAGCGTGAGGCTACTCGGGGCAAGCGAAAGGCGAATTGTCCGGCGTACAAGAGGAAAGAAGACGAGGGCGGCCGCGCGAGGGGAGGAGGGAGGGGGCACGCGCTCAGACGTGGAAGTGATGAGCCTGTTTCCCACCACCACCACCATAAGTTGGAGGGGGGAAGGAGGTGGAGGAGGAGGAGGAGGAGGAGGAGGAGGAGGAGGAGGAGGAGAGAGAAGAGGAGGAGGAGGAGGAGGAGGAAGGAGGAGGAGAGGAGAGGAGGAGGAGGAGGAGGAGGTGGAGGAGGACGAGGAGGAGGAGGAGGAGGACCCCCTCCCCCTCCTGCTTGTGGCGGTGGCGGTTGAGAACAAACCCACCAAGAAGAGTTCCGCGAAGGAACGAAAACAAGCAGGGGAGGGAAACCCGCGGGCCTCCCAGCCACAGCCCGCCGACGTGGGCGGCGTCGTGGCGCCGCTGCCGCTCGCGCCGCCGTCGCAGCCGCTCGACCCTGGCGCTGCCGCGCCGCCGTTTCGCCGCTCGGCACCCCCAGCGGCGCCCCCGGCGGCGCCCCCGGCGGCGCCCGCGTCGCCCGGCGGCGGCTCGGGGAACTCCGCGACGAAGTCGAGGCCGCCCTGGGGGGGGGAGGAGGAGGGGAGGAGGGGGGGGAGGAGGAGGGAGGAGGTTAGAGGAGGTAGGAAGCGGGAGGGAGGAGTGAGGCGGGAGGAGGAGGAGGAGGAGGAGGAGGCAACGACGACGAGGAGGAGGCGACGAAGGACAAGGAGTAGGAGTAGGAGGAGAAGGAGGAGGAGGAGGAGGAGGAGGAGGAGGAGAAGGTGGAGGAGGAGGAGAAGGTGGAGGAGGAGGAGGAGGAAGATGAGGACGACGACGACGACGAGGACGCAGCGGAAGCGCGCGCCAGCATGGTGGCCTGAAGAGGCTCCGCCAGAACTTCGCAGAGAGAAGGGGCCCACCCTGCAGGCTCGGCTCAAGCAGAACATCGTGGAGCGGTGCT